TCTGGTTCCTGTACTAATTTTTTGCTGTGGGGAAACTGGTTTCCCTGTTTTTTCTGTCTTCCCGTCATTGTCCTTGGTGTTGTTACTGTCCCTGTACTGTGTAATTAAGTATTTTCTAGCTTGTAATAATAACAATGGTAATATTTAGAATGGAAGGTGAGCTGAGATGGAAAGCAAGAAGTTAAAGAAAAGGGGAAAACAATATACAGACAAGAGGGAGAAAGCAGAACAAGGTATCAGACAAGAGAGTTTCAAAGGTATAAACAGGGAGTGTTAGTGTACTAATCAACAGTAAGCTGAACAGACATTAGAGAGACAGAGAGAGGATTGAAAATCAAAGATAAAAAAAAAAAAATAAGTAAATGAAAGAAATATCTATATATAAAATTGAATTAAAATAAAATGGAAAATAGAAAAAAAAATTAAAAAAAAAAACTTCCAAGTTTATATGCAATGCAGTTTCAGTCTTAATAATTTGGGTGTCTGTCTCAATCTCCAGTCCTGGAGTTGGTGCCTCAGATGTTGTTCTGTAGTTGTCTCATCAAAGGGGATGCATAAAGTAGAACAAAACTACACTCACACACACACACACACACACACACACACACACACAAAAAGCCCACCAAGTGTCCCAAGTTCAAATGCAATACAGTTTCAGTAAGTTTTTCGGCTTGCAGGTGTAATTCGGTTGTTCTCTCATCAAAGGTAGGGAGAAAAAGAAAAAAAAGGCGTCTGGAGACAGTTCTGAGAGTGGTATCTGCAACTGTGGTGCCTGCCTGCTCTCAGCCTGTAGCTGGCGGCGTTATTTATGCAGATCTCTGGGGTGAGCTTAGCACTCACCTGGTCCCACAGGCTTTGTTTGCTCAGAGTTCTCCTGTGCGGGAGCCTCTGCTACAGGCTTTCCCCTTTCCAAGCACTGGGAAAGGTGACACTGCCCCCGCGTTGTCAGGCCTGCGTGTTTATTTACAGTTCATGTGGGAGGTGGGTCTTCCCCCCTCTCCTCTGAAGTTTTCCTCCCACTGCCACTTTCAGAAGCTTTCCTGCTCCTGCTTACTGGGTGGTGCTGCTGCTCCTGCCGGCCACCATGTTTGTTTACAGTTCACGTGGGAAGTGGGTCTTCCCTCCTCCACTCTCACAAGCTTCCCCGCTCCTGGTTGCTGGGCGCCCCGCTCCCGCCAGAGCCTCTCCGGCCTGCCCGGCTTGTTTATTTACAGTCCCGGGAAGGATTCCCTTCCCCCAATCTTCAGCGCTCAGGGCGCCCACCCTCTTTCCAGCGTGTCTTAACTGTTCTTATTGCTTATTACTCAATTTCTCTTTTTTTTTTCCCGCGTGGAGGTCAGTCTGTCCAGGGGGCTATGCTGCTCTGGCCCAGGCTTGTCTGTGGGGCTACTGCGGTACCGCGAAGCTCACCTGGTCCGCGTCTTCCCAAGCCGTATGGGCGCTGGCCACTGGCGGCCCCGGGGGCCCTCCTCGGTTCTCCGTTTAACGTGAAGTGGAGATTCTCTGCGCCGGCTGGAGATGTGGAGGGGTCAAAGTTATGCCTGCAAAGTGTGTCTCCAGCGTCTCTCCAAGATTTCACTATAGGAGGGTCGCTTTCTGCTTCCTACCTCTAGCCGCCATCTTGGAATCCCTATAGCTTTCTTTAATGGGGTATTTCACACACATGTGCTAAGCATTTTAAGAATTTTATCTCATTTCATCTTTAAAACAACCTTGGAGGTAAGTTATATTAACTTAAGCTCAGGCCTGTCACACTATACAGCCCTCTCTCTAAATGTCATTAGTAAACTCAAAAAAGAAATTTCTTATTTTATTTCTGCCATAAGGACCTGTTTATAAAGAAGCTCTGGATCTTGTCACTGGATTGGGTTTCCTCCCATCTTTCATGACCTGGATCCTATGTTTGATGAGTACTTCTAGTTGGGAATGAGACTTGTGTTCTTCTTTGGGGGGGGCCAAGGGGTCAAAAGGGATAATGTGATGAAGTGGGAGCACAGCCGCTTCATCATAAGTTTCACAAATAAGGCAGAGAGAAACATAGCTTGCCTTTCAGTTTAAAGGAATATTGCGGCCAGGTGCAGTGGCTCATACCCGTTACCTAGGTACTTGGAGGCTGAGATTTGGAAGCACTGTATTCAAGGCCAGCCCAGCAAATAGTTTCATGAGATCCTCATCTCCAAAAATTAACCAGAGCAAAATGAACTGATAGTGAGGCTCAAGTGTAGAGTGCCTGCTTCGCGCCATGAAGCCCTGGAGTTCAAACCCTAGTCACACACACCACACAGCTTCAAAAACATTGTCTCTATGTATAAATGTAAAGCGAGGCAATGATATGAAATATAAATGACTAGTTAACATGAAGCTTATGCCATATTACATTATGTAGTCATGTAGTTTATATAGTAACAAACATGGTTATTAATATAAACATTAAGAAACTGTTGTTAAATTTCAGATGTCATAATGGTGTTACAGTTGTGAGTTTTGAGAAAGTCTTAACTCTTTTAGAGAGACATAGTGAATATTTAGAGAGAAAATTATATGGTGTTGGTGTAGGCACCAAAATAATTTATGGATAGATGAAACAAATTTAGTTGAAAATGTGTGATTTTGAAGGTGTATAATGGACATTTATTATACTTGTTTTTCTACTTTTGTAAATGACAGAAACTTTCCATGATAGAAGATATTATAAGAAAAACAAGCTTAAATTGAAAATAAAAGAACTGCTGTTAGTTTTGTAAATAGGTAAAAAAGTTATGTAAAATATGGTAAATTAAAAAAGTTATTTCTACAGCACTCAGCAAAATTCTATTGGTTTTGACAATATAAACAGTGTCTCTGGGCAAAATTGTGAAGTTTCATCGTTTACATAAGTTTTAATAACTGATTCTCAAAAATATATGTGTGCATATTGAATTAAGTTTTACTTATGTTGAAAGAATCTTTTATTACCCAATTTACAAATAACAGTAAAATAATACTACTATTGTAAATTCTATATAATTGATTTTCAAAATATGTTTTTATTGATTTCATTGCTGTTCAGCTCTTTGTTTTTTTGGTGGTACTGGGGTTTTGAACTCAGGATCTCACACTTGCTAGATAGGTGCTCTGTCACTTGAGCCACAACCCCAGCCCTGTTGCTCAGCTCTTGATGGGTAAGTGTACTTCCCATGGGAATGCTGGTTATTATTTTCATTTATATTCACTAATGAAATGAAAGTGAAACAATGAAAGTTAGAATGTCACTTGTTCTGCATAATGTGAGTAGTTCTTTTGCAAAACTTTAAACTGAAGAACTGTCTTCATTTTTCTTTGCAGCTCACAACATAAAAGCTATTAACAGCACATGCTTTTGGAACTTAATTTGCTTTATGACATTTCTCCATTGTTTTCTCAAGTCGAGTAACAAATCATGTCCTGACCTTGTGTTACTTGGTTTTGCATCTGCTGTTTTCATGGTATAAACACTCCTGCAATGGTTGGCCAGAAGAGATCGATGGTGAATAATACATGGATAAGACATAACATCTATCTTTACTTCCCTGGTGGTGTATAGCACAATGGTAGAAGCATGTGGGAAGCCATGGGTTCAATACCCAGCACTGCAAAAAAAAAGAAAAAGAGAAAGAAAGAAAAAAGAAAATCTACCATACATGTATTATAGACATAATAACCTCAAGTGTACAGATAATAGTAAAACATACTAAAATGATAAGGAAGCAATAAATTCAGGTAAGTTTCCACTAATTTCAACTATGTAAAATAACTGATATGTAGCCATCTTTAGAACTATCAAAGTGATAAATAAGCTCAAATGACTCAACATAAAACATACTCAGGATATTTGAGGATTGTGGAATTGTGGGGAGAGGGGTAGATAATTATGAGATAATAAGAACCTCTGCTAACCATTGAATTCAAATTTGGGCACTGTGTAAGCTAAGCTTGCTTATCTGATTTTTTTAAAAACTAAAGCAAATTTTACATTGATTCACTTTTTTTAAAACTCCTCCCAAAGAGTCTGGAAATGCTGAGACACAGCCCAAAGTATTTCTGACATTTTAGCTCCAATTAAGGATTTGACATGATACATAAGCAATAATACTACATATGCAAATTAGTGTTCAGGACTTTTGACACAATTTTTGAACTAAGTATTCTGGGAGAACAAGCACTCCTTTTTGGAGCATGAGCCTCAGTAATTAAGTCCCTGTTTCATTAATATCTCTGATTTCCAGCTGTGCAATTTCCAGCTGCTGTGTTAGAGCTTCTGAGAGCTAATTCTTATCTGTATTTGGATAGTAATATTACGTGGCAGATCCCTCTTTCAGTGGGTTAAAACAGAAGCATGCATAAGAAACAGTACGGGTTGCAGAGGGTAGTGACTGATTATTACAGAATATAGAGCTCTGTCTCTTGGTGGAATAAGAAGCACTACGCAATCTTGGCATTTTAAGACATTACACCATTTGTTCTACTCTGTTGTGGAAATTGGTGTATCTAGATTCTTCAAACTGCTGCTCACATTTGATCTACTTCATAAATTAAATTTAATTTGAAAAAAAAAGCCTAGTCTTCTTTCTTATTAAAAGTCCTCAGGGGAAAAATATGGAGCAAATGTCATTACAGTGGAAACTCCAGTGGGGTGGAGATGTTTACAAAACATTTCAGGTGCCTTCCAATGGCAAAGCAGTCAGGGCTGGTGCTACCTGAGGGGAAGACTTGAGCCAGGACCCCTCCCTCTCACTCTCCCACTCCCTCCCAGTAGTGGATTGCTTCCCGGGTTTACTGGGTCATCTGGGTGATTCACTGTTACTGTAAAAACAGGGCTGAGTGCACAGTGCAGAAAGCCACTGAAACAGAGGAACTAGTCACAAAATCCTGACTCTCAGTGGAGAGACCGTGCCACCAGAATTTTTCCTACACTACTGCAAGTCTTCCAGAGTTGACCAGGTCCCAGAACTTTTTAGCCAGAACTGGCTGATCTTTTCCCCATGTTTGAGAGTGCAGAGCTGTACTTCAATGTGGACCATGGCTACTGGAGGGCCTGGTGCGAGGGTGCAAGGCCAGCCTCCTGACCCAGCAGGACTACATCAACCTAGTGCAGTGTGAAACCCTGGAAGGTAAGTGTGGCTCTCCTCACCCTTTGAAAGAAAAAGAAGGAAGCAAGGAGAAGGGACTATGATCCCATGGCCTGAGACTCCTGTGTAAGTTCTTATTCCTGGGATCCAGATTTCTGGTGTTTATGACTTGGATAAGGAAAGAAATTAAATCTCTATTTTCAATATTCTCCAAAGGAAATTTAATAATTCCTTTCATTAAGGCTGCATCACTGTGGTTGGTATAAGAAGTACCTGCAACTTTGTCCCCAACAGAAATTCAATATTGTGGTTTTCCTTTTTTAAAATTCTTGCAGATACCTGAAATCTCATGAATGTTTTCTCTATTTTAAAGTTAGAGTAGATATTACACTCACCTATTAAGTTTGATTTTTAATATTTTTAATAAGGAAGCCCAATATTTACTATATACTTTAAAACATTCTGAGTCAGGCATGGTGGCACACGCCTGTGATCACAGCACACAGGAGGATGTGAACTCAAGTCCAGTTTGGACTACATAGCAATATCTTAGCTCAAAAAAAAAATTCAAACAAAACATTCTTATGACTTATATTTAAAAATATGGTTTTCTTTGTAATCCTTTGTATTTTCATTCTATGTACTTGTAAACACTACTTGGTGAAGGGCTTCATCAAATTGCCAGGTGATCTCTAAAAAAAAAAAAATCTAAACATTTTTGTCTAGTTTGAGGTCTGCCTTAAGTGAAGCTTAAAAAAAAAAAAAAAAATCAGGACTATGGTGAGCCCAGTCCTGAATTCAAAAGCACTGGCTTTGACTCTGCATGCTCTATACAGGGGACCCGGGACTCCATGAGTGTCAGGTTCTCGGTGGTAATGTGATTAGAACACCTGTTCATCTGAGGAATAGGAAGAAATAGATAAGATGACACTCAATAGATGAAAAATTATCTTTAAATCACATTTTTTTCAAAATTTTACCAAAGGAACCCACATCTGTAGTAGTATTTTTATTATTAAAAACAGTTTTACTTGCTCATTTTGAAGCATCCTTATAAAGTTGATAAGGTGTTTTAAAACTTCCTGGTTATTGTAGAAGAAAGATGAAGCCTCCTACAAAAAAGTACTAGCAGGCAAAAACAAACATAAAGCCCTTCTGAAGGTGACTTTGCAAGCTTCCTAGGGCTGAGGCCACCTGTTTTTGTTGTGACCAGTGAAAGACGCAGAGCTAAGGCCAAACTACCCAGCTGAAGTAGACTCAGCCTTTCATTAGCATTGGAAACAGCTAGAATCTTTAACTCATTTACTGTGTTGGCTACAAATCAACACTATATAGTTCCAAATGCTAAATCCCTTCACATATTCCATTAGGAGATTTGGTGACTGGAGAGTGTTAACCATGTATGAAAAATCTGTATATTTCTTTAAGTAGAAAAATGAAAGAAACCCAGGGCGCAGTAAGTGCTTCTGAGAGAATCCATTTGAAATAAGTTCTTTCTTAGTTTTTCAGTTAACTTTTAATGAGGTAAAGAATGCAAAATCTAAATGCAGGAAAAACATAAAATACAGTGTGATATCAATCAAAAAGATATCTAAAGCCCACAGAAAGAATTCTAGGGAATAAACAGTTAAAAAAGATAAAAAGCAAAATTAAAAGTTGCTTATAATATTTCCTGCCACGGATCCTTTGACCAAAAGATTGTGTTTAGAAAGGAGAAATAAAAGAAAAAGGAATGAAATTAATAAATCTGTTATTGGAATAGGATTTAGCTAAATGTAGTAAATTGTTTTTCATTTTGGGGGAGAGAAGAACAGGTTCCAGACACATTGGAAACCTCAGAAGAAGCTTCTTGGAAAACTGTACGTGGCTGTGCAACATGTAGCGAGCACATGGTCAGGGGATTGGGGACACCCAAAGGTTCCTGCACCCTGGTTAAGAAACCTCTCCACATACACTATTGCTTTATTGCTTATTATCTCATGGTTTCTATCTTTCTTTTAATATGATATACTTTTTCAATTATTCATTTCCCAACTGTTGTTTGAATCTTTGTATAATCGATGTTTGAAGACTCTCAGAAATATAAATATGAACTAACAACACATGTTTGGGTTGTCATGGCTGCAAAAAAGATAAATCTAAAAGAATTTCACGTCTCACTTAACAGTTGAGGCTCAGAATGACTGGACCAACTGCAGGCTACCAGTGACGGAGGTTAGAGATTCCTGCCTCTTTTTTTACAATGTTACTGCTTCCTGAGTATAAGCTGAAGGTACATAGAGGCCTGGGGGGTTTGGGTGTGACTCCATTTTGCTAATAGACAATAATATGGACCTCCATTCCCTGATATATTTTTGGATGTTGGGAAAAACACAACGCACAGAAAATAGTGTGCTTGTTGCTTCTGGGAATGTTCTTAGAGACCCAGCCACTCCTGAGCTAGATTTGGAGTGGGAATCAGTCAAGGGCTTTTGTTTGAGTAAAAGTTAAGGACGTAAAGATTTCTGTTTACTTTTGCACAAAGTATGCATTATGTCAATTATGGGTAAAGAAGAGAAGGGGAAACTGTGTCATTACAGTACCACATGTTGAAGTAGGTGCATTCTGTTAAAAAAAAAACTAACTTGGCAAAGGGTGAAGCTGCTTTTACTCTTAAAGTCTTTTGTATCCTAATTAGGAGCAGACTGTTTTAGAAGCACTTATGAGGAACACATAGGGCTTCAGGTAAATTCAGAAAAGAGAAAAGGCTTTGGCAAGTCTTAGTATTCACAGTCGTGCTGGACTGTGTACATAATTGGGCATGTGTGGTCGAAAGTACTCATCTATTCCAAGGCTGGTCTGACCCGACTAACAGGGGCCTGAACCAATCAGTGGCACCCACTGTGACTCAGTCTTTCCTAGGTACAAAAAGAAGGAAGCTAGTATTCTTTTTAAAAATATTAACACCACTATTTTTACCAGTCTTAATCACAAATAAGACTGTTGTGTAAAAATTCTTTCCTCTTTGACAAACACAAAGTGAAATGAATACTTAGATTAGCAGTAAAGGTCTTTTCTGAAACATGGTAAAAGTGTGCACTGCTCTCAGGTTGCAGGGGTGGACTGCACGCTGGATGGAGTTTTCACTTTGTCCTCCTTGCCACAAGGTTATTGGTGGGAGCGAAAGGAATCCATTCCATCCCTCTAACAATTGTATCCCTTTCAAGGAACTTGACATTTAGAGCTTCTTCCAACTCTCTTCAGGTAGGATTAATTCACTAACCATATAGTAAGCACTTTCTAGCAAGGCCAAGGAAGATGAGTAAATATAGTTCCTGCCTTAAAGGGTTCTACTCTGGGAAAAAAAAAATGTACTAGAAAAATAAGAAACCTTTAATAAAGGCAGTTGGCCCATACTATACATACCAAAATCCCAAATGCCTATACACTCAGCCTGGAAATTGCAAGTCCCACAAAAAGACTTGCCCAAAGGTGAGATGACAGCTGTACAAGGCTCCTCATGTAACATTGTTTGGAAAAGCAAAAGATGGAAATAATCAGATGCCCCTCTTTAGGGAACTAGTAAAGTATGTTACAGAGCCTGCATGTATTGGAATATTCTGCAGCAAGGAAAAATGAAAAAAAGCACACAGAGCGATACAGGAGGGGGGAATGAAAGATTACCAAGATTCCCAAGGGAAGAAACATGTGTGGCACAATACCCTTTTTTTATCATTTTTTTATTATCATATTATTGTTGACTGGGGGTACATTTTGACATTCACAAAAGCTCTTATAATAATCTTAGTTTAAATTCACTCCCTCATCATTCTCCTTAACCCTTCCTCCCCCCATTCCTGGAATAGTTTCAACAGGTCTCATTTTTCATTTTCATACATGAGTACCTAATATTTTCACCATATTCACCCTCCTACACCACTTCCTTTACCTTCCCTCTCCCACTGGTACAAATTCTTTAATTAACAAAGGGGAAATAAATTTTTAAGCATTTTCTATATGATTGTCTAGATGTAAAAAAAAAACTATGGAAGGATCAAAAAAAATGAAAAACTAGTAATTAACTGAGGCCAGAATGATAGCAGGGAGTGTGGATGGGTATGCGACAACTGTAGGAGAAGTTTCACTGCTTACCTGTGTATATGCCTTCTACCTACTTTAAAATTTTAAAAAATACACATAGGAGGAAGACTTTTATTTTACAGTTTTCTCTACAATTCCTTAGACATTATTTGTACCTCTAATTATAGCACCTTTTTAAATGTTTTGTACTTAAAATGCATATCCAACACTGTCTCTGTTCAAAAATACTTTGATGGCTCCTCTCAGGCAAGATAAACCTCACTCTTAGCTTAAAAGACTCAGCAGTCTTCCTTCCTTCCTTCCTTCCTTCCTTTCTTCCTCCCCTCCCTCCCTCTTTCTCTCTCTCTCTCTCTCTCTCTTTCTTTCATCTCTCTTTTCCCTTTTTACAATGCTGGGGATTGAAGCCAGGTCCTGGGGCCTGCTGGGCACGTTCTGGGCAAGCACTCTCCCACTAAGCTACTTCCCTAGCCCTATTGTAGGTTTCCTCAGGACAGAAAACGCACCTTACACTTTTCTTTCTCCTCTTCCTACAGTCCAAGATTCCTTTGTATAGTACAAATCTGAAAGCATGCACTAGAAATACCCGAGTTTGAATTCGAGTCCTGGCTCTTCTTCTTCCTGGCTCTGGATGTTAAGCAAGCTGAGTATCTTTAGCATAGACTTTCTTATCTGATACTTAGGTGATATCTCCTGGGCCTATCTCCAGTTCAGGGGAGCATCTGAACTATCTGAAGATGTTCTGTAAAGTACAATTCTTAAGTCCTCTCTGTTCGGAGGGTTTGCCTCTGATCTGCAGTGCATATATAACAAGAATTAGATGTATCTCTTCTGCTAGTTTTTGCAGTTCCTGAAATGGTTCTTCCCACTTCATGGTCTTGTTAATGGTTTTTGTTATATGACTAGTTCATTCTGTTCTCCTTCAGACAGCACTTTTAGAAATGTTCATTCTGTATCAAAATGAG